CTTCGGGATAGATACAAAATTTGAGATAAAGCGCTCTTTCATTTAAACTATGAAAATTATGGGGTCAGTTTGACTTCATCTTTTTCAAAACTAAAATTTTTTAAAACGTCCTTCCGAAGCAGGCAACGGGATTTCAATTCCGATGACCGACAACTTCTTACGGGCAAACCCCACACCAAAAATAGTGCCGACACCCCATAACTCATTATAAGTTAAAGTGTTACAAATCTACTAAAAATATTTTCCTTTAAAAAATTATGAACACTGTGAATCACTTTTTTTTAAGGTCACTGCTTCAATCTAATTAGAGAAAGATTCTACTAAAACAATGATATAAATGTTACTTGAATAAGACCCAAATTACCTCATGAAATATATTCTCCAAGCATAAAAAAATTCTACCTTCTAAATGTAGTTTAAGGGCAACTCATATCATCTATAAATATTTTCTTCCATTTAACATTGATCACATTTCTTAATATAATCATTAATGTCCTTAAATAGAGTGGACCAATAAATATAAATTATAATCTTAGAGGCAGTTCTAAATCTTCCAAAATATCATTCAAATTCAGAATCATGACAGGGTTTAGTAATCTCATTCATCTCTTTTAATAGGGCATACCTTCTAATAACTTGATCATAATACTTTCTAGATAAATATGATTCATTTCAAAAATAAAATTTGACATCACAAAAGAACTTTATTTGATTATACAACAAATCAAAATGTATAGTATCACTAACCATATAGTTCACTGTGTCGGCATACTAAGGAATATTTTATTCCAAAATGATGAGAAACTGTTCATCATAAATGTTCTCGTTAATGTCTTCAAGATGGTCACAAGAATTTTCCTGCTATAATGGGGAAAAAAAGGTTCGCTACGTGGTTTTCAATCCAGTTCCCATTGACTATCTTTATATGAAATTTATGTAACAAAAGTATCAAACAGAGCAATCAGGATTTGACATCGTTCTTAGTAAAAAGGTATTTAATTACATAGTGGTTGTCATGAACTTTAACTTTAGTGTCTATAAAGTATGACCTAAATTTGTCAAATACAAAGACTAATGTAAGCAACTATTTCTTTAAGGTGGTATATTTCACTTATGTTTTATTTAAAGTCCTGCTTGCATAGAATGTCATATGAAAAACTCTATTTGTATGTTATCCTAATACTGTTTCTACAACACAGTCACTAGCACAATATATTAGCTTAATTGGAAGTTCCTAGTTTAGTACTATAATAACAAGTGCATTAACTAATTTTTCTTTTAAACACTCAAAGGTTGTGCAATTTTCATCAAACTCAAAATGCACATCCTTATTTAATAAATAATATAACGATTTGAATATCTTGAATAATCCCTTAATATATTTATTTTAGAATACTACTTGCCCATTAAAACTCTTAATCCCAATAACAATTTAAATATATTAAAGAAGTTCTTAATATATCTATGGTTGACGGTTGCGGGAGTGGGAGGTGTATGTTAGATTTACGGTGCAATATTCTGTAGTTCATCTCCGCCTTCTTCAAACTCGAGCATCCTTCTTGCTCATAGTCTAGTACCCTCTCATGAGGGGATTAGGGCTATATTTACAAAGTTCATATTGCAAATAAGGAAAGAATCCAAAAAACTCTTGATCGGATGACCCGAAATGGTCCCCTTGATCTGACATCAATTAATGGACATTTGAGTGTCTAATGATGTTAAAATCAAGTGATATTGGGCTCATTGGATTTGTCATACGTAGATGCTCAATTTGACTATAAGCATATCATATTCGGAATCCGACTCCAATTATGCCCAAAAAGCTTTCAAGTGCACTTTATTGCTTGATTCAGTATTGATTGGACTCGGACTAAACCGATTTTGGTACTATTGGATCCTTGTTCGGTCAATTTGATTATAAGTTTGCTAAAATCAAAATTTTAGATGCCTTTTAATCGAAGGATTGGTGATGAATGGGGGGAATTTGTTGGTCATTTTTCATATTTAATAGATATATTCAGTTTATATGAAGATGGATTGCTTCTTTCCCGATTCATGCAACATGGTATTTCAATCGCATATGCTCATTCTTTTTCAATATTTGAATGAGATTTATATACATATTACAGATTTTTTATATATTTACACGTCTAATATCTATTTTTTCTTTGTATCCAACATCTAAACTCTAGTATTTTTTTATCTGACATTTTAATCTTCAATAAAACATAAGGACAATTATTAAAATATTTTTTTTATAAAATAAAATACACATATATATGTATATAAGCACCAAATATAGTATACATAAATATTAAAGTATAAAAATTTGATATATAAATATAATAACATATGCACTTAAAATAGTTGTAATTATATATTGCACAAGCAAAACACCATATTTATATATTCCACGCTCAAAAGCTCCCTGTTTATACTGCATTTCCTCTCCGCCTAATCTTGCGCCAAAATGACTTGCCCTATCCCAAGCTCTTTTCGAGTCATTCTTGCCTCCGACGGAGAAGCAATAGGCATGCATCTACGGAGAAGCAACAGGCATGCATCTCCCCTATCCTAGTACGTGCTTCCAAAAGTCACAATGACAATCTACTCTACATCAACACGACTCTTAAATTTGAACTTTTGTATCAGTTGTTCTCATGAAATAATTTCTCGATGCAATGACGGCACCTTGTATTTTGAAAATGACAATAATAAAATAAAAAATTGGAATGAGAAAATCGCACAGACAAACACACAGACTTACGTCTACATCCACGAGGTTATAAAAGATTTTATTACTTTGAGAATTACACCGTCGATCATGTCAACTTAGAATTAGAAGAAAGCTTTCTCTCTTGCCCTGTCTCACTACTCGCAAGCCACCAAAGAAGAAGAACACACATAAGGGAGCAAAAGCCTTGTGATGCTAACTGCCGAGAAGGCGAACAGCTCCTTGCAATGCTAACAGTCCGGGAATCGAAGGACCACCTGCGTTAATTGGCGAAACCAGAAGCAAGGCAACAAAGGAAACTCATAACATAAAAGGAATTCACTTAAAGCTTATTAAGTGTAAAAACAACTGTTATAGAGGTTATAGATCCACCGACAGAATTCAACCTGAAATTCGACCAAGAGTTCTTTTTAATGTAGAGGACTCTAGTTGAAAAGGCCCTCGTTGTTAAGAGGACCCTCAAGTCCATCATTGTTGGTCCTGCCAATGAGTTTGAGAAAATTTATCTCAAAGGGAGGTCTGTCATTAAAGAGATAGAAGGAGATTGTACTCCGCTGTCGTCTGTATTTGAGAATGGGTCCAACTCTAAGTTTGTGTCGCCGATCCGTACTAGTACAAGGAACAAAAACTGTGCTGCTTTAAAGAATAAGAAAAATAAAAATTATAAGCCTGAGGAAATGGGGCCTCCTCAGAACTCTTCTCTCTTAGAAGGGAGCATGTTCTACCCATATCCGCTGCTCATGATGAATAAGATGTTCGCTAGATTGCTGTCAGTCTGCCTCGACCATTCCACCACAAGCAAAAAAAGAAAAAGCGCTCTTTTCTCTCAAAGATTCGTTGTGTTTGAAAAGCTTGTTCGTAAAGAAAAGTGCTTGATCGCTCAGGTTTTGCACATAATAAGATATGTGGTTTCCCACAAATAAAGAAATAATCTCAAAAAAAAAAAACCAAATTACAAGTATCACAAGTCTAATGCACCCCACGTACCTATCAAACTCCATTTGGGACCTAGGATACCAGACACACCATTATTCCATAAGTGCAGGTTTGTTCCCCTACGAAAGCAAAACCAAAGCCTCGTTCAACGCATGAGGAATTGTTGATGAAGGCCATGTTGGCCTCCGCCTATATGATATCGCTTATAAAACTTTTATGAGTTGGGGATCATGTCCACCATTGATGCGCTGACATGCCACCATGAGAAAAATGTGCGAAGGTGTAAGCCATTAAAAAAAAATCACCGACGTTATAGAGTTACAATGCAAACATGTGACCACTAAGCTTAGTTCTCAAGATGAGACAAGACAAAAAAATCAGTCCGATTCGATCAAAGAAAAGTTAGAGAAGTTAAGAGTTGATGTCACATAATTATCAAAGACATAGAAAGAGACTCTTAATAACGTGGGTGAGGAGTTTGTAAAAGTCAATCAAGATCTTCTTTTTCAGTCAAAAAACTGTGGGGGTTCTTCTGAATGGTCTTTGTAGTGATATGCTCTGTGACAAAAATAAGCTTAATTTTATTTGGTTTAAATGAATTTTAAGATCCATTTTTAAGGTATTATGTATTCTTGTTGTGACATATTATTCGTCGGTTTAACAGTGCAAATCTTTAATTTTGTATTTCTATTATTCTTATTAACTAATGTTTCATCTAGTCGTTTGTGATTTGTGATTTTAAACCTTAAGAAAATATAAGTTTGAGGTATTCTGGGACGTCTGAAGTCCTGTTTGCAATTATGAATTGCGTTGCTCTTTACATACTTCATGGCATGAGCATATTTATGAGAGAAAATTCTACAGATGCCAAAGAAAAAGATCAGTAGAGGATTGTGACTGCTTTAGCGGGCCGTCTCAGTTAGACAATTTCACATCAAATAGTGATAAGACATTGAGAGTTTCTTTGGAGAAGAAATTATCTCGTGAAATTGATCATTTGCATTTCAAATTCAATATCATGATAATGCTAATTGTTATTTTAATAATTTTATTTTTAATTTTACTTATTATGGTAGTAAGTGTTTAGTGAGATGTTTATTTTTAGTTATAATGTTCAAACTCATATATATATTTTGAAATGTTAAATGTAATTTCTATTTTATGCATAAGTAATTAAATCTGGATTTATTATGTTATAAACAACAAAATAATATAGTGGCGAAATTTTTTTTTAACATAAATAATATGCACCAAAAAGAAAGAAAAAAAAAATTCTAGCGGCCTCAAATTGCTAAGAAAAAAAATCAAATAGCTATAATATGGGGTCTAAATCATTTCAGGCCCGGCAAAAGGTCACCCTTCCATCGTGTGTGAAGAGCTCGAGGCGTCGAGGGAGACCTGATACCCGTTCTTCATTTCGTCTCGCTGAACTCGAACCGTAGTTGACGAATGTCTCCCAAAAAGGCGCTTGCAACCGCGTCGGCGTCAGCTGGTATGCTCCGCCGTATTCGATCATCGCTCCTGCGCAGCAGTGGCGGCGAGGGCGCGGGGCGATGGACCACCCAAGGGCACGAGGAACGACCGAAGGGCTATCTGTTTAATCGCCCCCCTGCACCACCTGGTCAATCGAGGCAATGGGAGGATTGGGAGCTTCCTTGCTACATAACCTCCTTTCTCACAGTCGTTACTCTCGGCGTCGGCCTCAACGCCAAGCCCGATCTCACTCTCGAGACCTGGGCACATCAGAAGGCCCTCGAGCGGATGCAGCAGCAGCAGCAGCAGCAGAGCGTGGCCGCCGCAGTTGATTTCGAATAATTGTATAATTTCTCTGTAAGTGTTTTTTTTTTGGGTCTAGGGTTATTAAGGATTGGAAAGGTGAAGTTGGGATCTGATGCAACTTTGTGGATTTATGATTTTGGCTATGGATGTTTCATCTGCCTATTTTTAATAGCAGTCGGAATAATTTGTCCGTTGGATGTTGGCGGCGTCTGACCTTGTTCTGCCTAAGAAATGCATGATGATCGCTCTTTTTTTTTTCTGGGCATAACTTCGATATTTAACCAGTTTAATATGTGTAAAATTGTTTGTGATTTTGCTTATTTCTATTCAACATTACTTGATTGTTTGTGCAAAAGTTAAATTGGGTTCAAGTTTCCTTTGCGTTGGGCTGATTTTGACTTGCATCCAGTTTAAACTTGTAGTAATGTTTTTGATGCAAATGATGAATAATACTTCAACATTTTATCTGATTCTAACAGTCCCTCAATGCTTCATGTAACCTTCGTAAATTTAAAGGCCATTCCAATTTAGGATATCTCCTTTTTATCTTGCTTCAACTTAGTTATTCTTATGTTTCATATTTATTGCATTTGTCCATGATATAGGAGACTACCTTTTTTCTTGAACTTAAATGATGGATATCTCCATATGTCGTGATTGTGGTGCAACGTTGACGCAAGAAACCTTATATAATCGCGGTGAAACTAGTATCTTTTTCGTTGGTGGTTGTTAAAAAAAATGTTTCAAGAAATTTTGATTTCTTTTTCCCTCATTTTGTGTGTAATAATGAAATGATTTTTTTTTTAGAGCTTTGAGTAAGTTGCTTGTGTTTGAAATCAGATTTGATTGGTAATTGTTTCTGACCAAATGAAAAATTTGAGAAACTTATTCAATTTTCAAAATATTGTTCTGATTAACCTAATGAGGCCTTAACTTAAAAAAAGCTGTTTTCAGTCCTTGCCTGCATTGTTTGTCTGTTCTTAATGCCTAAGTTACAAGCTATCCTAGGACCTATTGATTTGTAACCCTTCTCTAAACAAGCTATTATGATAACTGTAATATCATCTATTATGTTATGTATGATATTTAGAGATGTCATTCATTTTACATGCATGCCACCTAATTCCTATGTATTTACATATCTTACACTTAAACCCTACTTTTTACATTTATACTGTCCAATCTTTCACATGGCATAAAAAATAACATATTTTTTACTTCTAAAGAGTGAAATACAGATATTCATGCATCAGGTAAGGTATTATATATGTAAAGAATGAAGTTTAAGTGTTAGCTATGTAAATGCATAAGAATTAAGTGGTATGCATGTAAATCTTCCTAGTTTAAATAATAAATTTGCAAATGAATGTCATGACATGTCTAAGTGACAATTAGATGGCCTGATACCTCACAGAAAATATCACTTTGAAATCTCCGATCCTCAAATTTCATTCTTCATTCTTGAAATTACTCATTGTAGTCATTATATCCTATTCATCGTTCCTGTGTCCTGTCACAACCCCTGCTGTAGTTGTTGCTCTTACTCAATAATCCTACCTTGAATAGCTTACATATTTCTCACAACTGCTGCCCAGAAACACTAGTTGTTCCTTCTGCCATCCCCATGCTTGCATCTATTCGATGTCCTCCAGATCATCCTCATCAAACTATCATCTTCCCACACACTTCCTATCTGTTGTTTTCATGTTTGATCCCACGTTAATGGAAAAAAAAAGAAAAAAAGTTGGGCATAACAAAAGCAAAGCTAAATGGGAAAGATGCTGATAGAAGATGGAAACTAGGAAGGAGATAGAGACAAGCAATGCTTTGATACATTTACTTAATTGAATAAAAAAGTATGACTCTCTTGATACTTTTACTAGAGTACAAAGGATGTTTTTTTGGATGAAAGTGTTATAGGGGCTTGGGCAATAAATTATTATTATTTTTTTTGGTGGCAGCATTGGATGAGATGGAACTTAGATTAGAGAAGTAAGGGATCTTACAAAATTCTCAATGATCGGCGGCAATCTGCCACATATGTATTGTAATCTACAAACAACTTCTAATCTAACTATAATAATCTAGATTATGCTGACACCTTTAAATACAATAATATTAAGCCAAACAAACTACATTTAACAAATAAAAGTTTCATTTATATAACATTAACACCTAATGGTCTGCATAACTTTGAGGCAAATAATCCTTAAATCTAATTATATTTTTATTTTTTGGGCAACTATTTCTCCAGATTCATAGGATATCTACAACCTTTAAAAAAAATTGTTATAGCACCATAAAAATTATTACCGAGAGTTACACCAATTTTCTTTAGTGCTGATACGATGCAAAACCAAAAACAACGAACAAATGTGACAAAATTGCAATAGATATGTAGAAAAACTCAAAGGAGAGCTGCTTTTATGAAAACCAAAGAAAACCAGAAAAGTAAAATGATGATCTATTGTTTGAGAGGTTGATCGTCTCTCCTCAAACTGTAGACATCACTAGGAACACCTTCAGGAAAGAAGGAAAACTGCAGCCAAGACAAAGCAGAACATTAAAAAAACTCTAGCCTCTTTTTCCTCCTAAATACTTCCCTAGAGGCTTTGCGACTTCCGCTTGGGCGCTGGCATTGTGCTCCATATCCCGCGACTGGGTCGTTCCTCTTTAATAGGCCGCCTGTTGCTTTGGCTGACCGGTCCTCCCTGCACCAGTTCAGCTGTAGGGGAGAGCTTGTGTGTACAAAACTCTCCTCCCAAAGAGGCACCTTGTCCTCAAGATTGAAGGATGAAAACTACTTTTGGATCCCTTCATAAGGCTCCCATGTAGCTTCATAGTATGAAAGATCTTTCCACCTAATCAGTACCTCCTTTAATGCTGCCACCCCTCGACGTACTCCTTCAACCTCTAAAGCTTCTAGAACCACCTCCATGTCCTCTTTCAGCGTTGGCAGTAGTGAAAACGACGGTGTATGATCTTCGATAGCATGCCTCAATCGAGAAACATAAAACACGGGATGTATTGTCAATGATGGTGGTAGCCTCAAAAGGTAGACCACTGCTCCAATGTGTGTCGTAATCTAATAGGGTCCAAAATATCGCGGAGAAAGTTTCTCGTACCTCCTCGCCAACGTCTTCTTCCGATGGGGCCTCAACTCCAAGTAAACCATATCCCCAGGCTTGAATTATATTTCCCTGCTATGCCCATCTGCCTTCCTCTTCATGATCTGTTAGGCTCTCAGTAGATGCATATTGAGCTTTGCCAATATTTTGTTTTTCTCCTCCAAATATTGGTCAATACTGGATGCCGGGGTGGTGCTTTGCTCGTTGTATATCAGGTGAGGTGAATCTTGACCATACAAAATCTTGAAAGGGGTGGTATGTGTCGCGGTGTGGTATGAGATATTATACTAATATTCTACTCGTGCAATCCACCTGGCCCACAGTTTCAACGTATCCAACACAAAGCAACACAAATATGTTTTCACACTCCTTTTGAACATCTTCGTCTGACCATCTATCTGTGAGTGATATGCGGTGCTTCACTTAAGGACCGCTCCCCGTAACCTGAACAACTCATTCCAGAAATGGCTAAGGAACTTTTTATCCCTATCTGATATAATTAATTATGGTACTCTGTGCAAGCAAACAACGTTCCATATGAGTACCGTCACTACTAAGACTGTCATGTAGGGGTGTCCTAATGGAATGAAATATGCATACTTGCTCAGGTGGTCCATAACCACCAGAATCACTGTAAACCTTTTCTGATCGTTGCAAACTCTCTGTAAAATCCATGGTCGTTTCTTCCCAAACATTCTCTAGTAAGGCTCGGGGCTGTGACAACCCTCCTGGTGTCATGGTCAGGTATTTGGGCCGTTAAAACACATCGTACTGTGCCGCCATGTCTTCTATATCTCTGTGTCACCACCCAATAAAGTTTTTTTGATAGGCGACTGTAGGTCTTTTGTACTCTGAATGTCCCCCAATTTCACTGTTGTAAAACTCTTACACTAATATGGGAATGTACTCCGATGTCATTGGTAACATGAGTCGTCCATGGTAGAGTAGTTGCTCCCCCGTCAATGCATATCTTGGGTGACTATTTGGATCTTGTAGCACATTTTCCTCAGCCCTTCATCTTGCTCACTCTCTCGTCTCGTTGTTTCCAATCGAGCACTAAGAGTACTGATAAGGCTGCCAACTGAGGCTCTTCTCCTTAATAGGGCATCTGCGGTTTTATTCTCCAACCCTAGCTGATACTGAATCTCAAAATCATATCTCTGCAACTTGGACAACCTCCTATGATGCTCCTCAGTCACCATCCTCGGCTCCAACATCTACTTCAAGCTCCTTTGATCTATTTTGGCAAGAAAGTGTCATCCCAACAGGTAGGGTCGCTATTTCTAAATGAACAAGGCAATAACCATAAACCCCCGCTCGTAAACTGGCTTGAGCCTTGCCCCTAGCGAGCACCTGGCTGAATTAAGCAATCGACTGCTGGTCCTGAGTACTACTCCCAGTCCACGCCCTGATGTATTTGTCTCTACCACAAATGGTTTACTGAAATATGAAAGTGCTAATACTGACACACTGGTCATGAGCCTCTTCAGATATTTGAAAGCTTGTGTTGCGGCTTCCCCCCTCTTGAATTGTCTTCCTTCAACTGCTTTGCCAGTGGTCATGCTATTGTGCTGACCCCTTCACAAATTTTTAGTAGTATCGGATGAGACCTAGGAATCCCCTCAACTCCTTCAAAATCCTAGGTAAAGGCCGATCCACCATAGCCTCAATTTTGGATGAGTCTGTTGCTACTCCTGCTCTGATCACCACGTGTAGATGCACAAATGAACATTTCATAAAATTGATGTATAACTGGTGCTCTCTCAACTTCTCCAATTCTGTCCTAAGGTGCTCCATATACTATGTTTTTGCAAGACTGTGGATCAGAATGCCATCGAAGATGTTCAAGACGAATTTCATGAGGTAAGGCTGAAAAATCTTATTCATGTGGGATTGAAATGTGGTTAGGGCGTTGGTGAGGCAAACAACATCACCGAGAACTTGTAATGTCCTTCATGTGTCCTGAACGTTGTCTTGTGCACATTTGTTGGACGCATCATGATCTTGTGTTTTCGATTTAAGATCAATTTTCGAGAAGATGACTGCCCCATAAAGCTCATCTAGCAACTCATTAATCACAGAAATAAGAAACTTATCTAACACCGTCTCATTGATCAAATCTGATAGTCCACGCAGAACCTTCAACTACTATCTTTTTTTCTTCACCAATAGGACTAGACTAGAGAAAGGGGCTTACACTAGGTCTGA